ATGTTTTGTTTGTTGCAGGTGAAGAAACCAGAGACGAACTCATGGTGAGTAGCTAACATTCATGTTACCGGGACAGTCTAGATGTTGTTGCTGAAAGTTAATGTGTTGCTCTGTGTTTTCAGTCTCCGTCTACCAAAGTGGTCTGCTTCAGCAACCTGCCCAGGCGCTCCTACACCGACACCCAGTTTGTCAAACTGGTCAAAGGATTTGGGAAGGCGGTGCGCTACTTCCTGATGCGCCGAAAGCGACTGGTCAGAAAAATAATCCTTCATTTTATCTGTCTGTCCTGTGACTGTCTTTTTAGGTTCTGTTGACAAACAAAAACCAAGTCACTGCTTGTTAATTGTTTTTCAGTCTAAGCTCAAAGTTCAGGTCCCATCTTTTATCAACAGACGGCTCCAACAGGTTGTTCTGTGCAGTGCGAGAAGCTAGCGGGAGTAAACCTGTCTGTGCAGATTCTCAGTCATCCAGGTCATAGTAAACTGAAAAAACTTACAAAAAATCAACTGGACTAGATTTCTAGGTTGAAGACGTTTCACCTCTCATCCAAGAGGCTTAATCAGTTCTGACTGACTGGTGTTGAGTCGGAGATATTTATCCCCCTCGGTGGTGTTTCAGTCCTTAGAAGGCCAACAATGTCCCTTAACGACTGTGTCGTTATAACCCAGTATCGGTGAGAGTCATTACCTGTCTTTGAATCCTTCCCTGTCGACCAACGCCTATTGTCCTGGTGGGCATGTTTGGGTAGAGATCTCAAAACAGGATTGTAGAGATGGAAGTCAAGTTGTGTCTTAGTCCACCACCCCTATTTATTGAGGGGTGTTCTATTTTTACAAAAATAGCTTCCTTAACTCCTCTCTCAAACCAGCGATGTTCTCTGGAGAGGATCTGGACTTCAATGTCCTTTGTCCTAGTGCTATGCCGATAAACGATATAATATCGAATGGCAATAAAATTGATATCAATAATGATGATAAACTCGGCATTTTTACTCGATATGGATTTGTAAGAGCCAATCACACAGCAGCAATATGCGACAACAGCCAATCAACATGCAGCTTTAAACGTGCACATCAGAGAACAAAGTTAGATAATTTCCTACGGCACTTTGCAAAACAAGCTGGAGACGAAGACGGCAAAAATGAGTGAAAGCAGTAGCGAAAGTGAGACAAACATCGAGCAAGTAGTCAAAAATGATGAAATTGTCGACAAACAAGGTCACCAACATGTTCTGGCTCCACCTTCTTTAATGTGAGGAGCTGATGCTTTCGTCAGATGTGAGAATAAACTGAATATCTTTGGTTTTGCTGGTTGGACACAACAAGACATTTGAAGACGCCACCTTTGACTCTGAAAAGTCACAATGGGCTTGTTTTTTTTTATTTTTACACCAGTGTCTGACATTCTGTGAATAAAAAGATCAATCAGATAATCAAAACAATAATCAGCAGATTAATCAGTGACAGCAGTTTTTATTTCCATTCATTTATTTGGAATTTTCCTTTAAAATGTCACCTAACTGTACACAGTTCGCATTTTTCAACCTAATCTTAACGTGTAACCATCACCCTAAAACTGAATGTTTTTGGACAGTGGACCAGCTGTAGGAGTGTGTAAACGGGTATCAGGCTTCACAGTAATACCAGGTGTACACACACACACACACACACACACACTGTGCGTTGTATCACATCAACATGATTTCTGCATCAGTATCTTTTAAAACAAGAAGAGGAGAAACAGGACTGGACTGACACTGGTTCTACGGAGCTGATGTTTTAAACGCTCACAAGTACGATAAAGGTCACCTGTACCTTTTCTCCATGCTAATTGCAAAACATCAAATAAAAAAAAAAAGTATGTAAATTGTGTGTGTCTGTTTTTTAACTGCAAGGTCCTATTGCAGACAGCCAGACCAACCCCCTGGCATGGTGGAAGATTAATTCACCAACATACCCCAGAGTGAGCCTCCTGGCCAAACGTTACCTCTGCATTCCTCCCACAAGATCACCCTCAGAGCCCTTAAAGCCAGACAGTGGACAGATTAGTCTTTCTGGCAAAACATCTGTAAACTTTTTACAAAATATGTGCACTGGATAGACATTTTATTGTTTTATGTTTTAGTTTTATTGCACATTTAATTTCCCTCTTAAAGCCAGGCACTGTTGACAGACTGAGACTGGTCTTCAAAATAAATAGTATTGTGTTTTACAGATTCTGATGAATAAGTTGAACATATGTTAAATATGTTTACACTTTGCACATTTTGGCACTACCTCTTAAATCCAGACACCGTTGACAGTCTAGTGTTCCTGACACACAAAATGTAAAGGTTTGACAAATTGTGTGCAGTTTCTAGTTGTATACTTTTATGTTTAGCACATTTAATCGACCTCTTAAAGCCAGATGATGTAGACAGACTTGTCTTTCTGGAAAAGAAAAAACTGTAATTGTGTTACTTACTAATTATGTTTACAACACTTTTACTCTAATTTACCTTCTTTTGTCACAACCTTTAGTTTTTAATTTATTTTAGTAAGTTGTCTTAATTTTTAAACTAATGGACCCTCAAATTTTTGTGGCTTCATACTTGGGATACTCTTTGAAAGCTGGCAGCATTAACAGTTTATATATCGAAAAATATATTGTTATTGATCAATATGGGAAAAAAATGATCGAGATTACATTTTTGCCATATCGCCCAGCCCTACTTTGTCCTTCAGGTGGAGGTGGACTGCTGACTCTGGTCCACTGGAGTTGGCCCTCCTGTGTTGGGCCATGTGTTTGTGAAGCGGCTGCTTATGTACAAGTCGTTACACTCCTGACTACACTTAATTGCATACACCAGAAACCAGAAACAAGAGCAGATAACACTGTCATCCCTTATGTGGCTGGTTTATCAGAGAAGTTAAAAGGATATTTCACAACCACAATATCCCAGTTAACTTTAAACTAGGGAACACCCTGTGGCAGAGACTGGTCCACCTGAAGGACAAAACACCCAGACATGAACAGTGATGTGGTGTATGTAGTAGTGGGAGTAAACGGAGCAGACACCAGCGACTCTTCCTTCAGACACTGTAAACAGTGAGGAAGTGAATGTTCTCAGCCTGTGGAGCTGTTTGTTGAAGAAACCTGTCACCCAGTGCAGCGGTGTGGCTCACTGGACTCTTTCATAGCTGCTGGACAACAATAGGTTAAACCAGGCTCTGGATTCACACGTTACAGCGAGTACATTAACTCACTGGTGCTGTTAGTCCCTGGCCCGGGTTTATGCACAGTAAGACAGAGAAACTCACCAGCTGTATCCTTTAACTGCACCAGCCTGCTGTGTCTAGTTTGGGAAGTGAGATCTGTGTGGATGAGCAGGGACCAGCTTATAGGTACGTCACTGTAAACACCAGCACGTCTACCAAGTCTGTCACGTCTTCAGTACTGTTGTCCATAGTGCGTGATAATTCTTTCTGGTGTGAGAGATTCAAAGTGTATAAAGCGAAGCTTACTATCGGCTCACATGTCAATGCCAGTATCAGGGTCCAGAGTCCAGCATGGCTGGGGCATAACGGACCACACTCACTTCAGATATCAGTCAAAACATCTGTTTTGCTAAGAATATCAAATGTACTGCTCGTATCAAGGAAACATTTCTGTTGTAGTCCACATTCACATTGTTTTCAGCTTTTCTGTTTTGATGGTCTACTTTTTGTTCCTATCTTATACTGTTCTGTGACTGGTTTTCTCTATTTTATGTTTGATTATGCACTTAAAATAACCTTAGCAGTGCTGTTTTGGCCTGGACACCCTTGAGAAACAGGTTGTTAACCTCCAGTAAAGCTGAGTCAAGAGCCCAGTGTTTGATTTGCTGTTGAGCTCAGTTCAGTTTGTTCTGTGGGGTGTCTCTTTACCCTCAGTATTGTGGTTCTCTGTCTCAGGGTTTCGTTGAGATGTCGACTCCTTCAGAGGCTCTACAAGCTGTCAAAGAGCTGACCTCTCAATCCATCATCTTCAACGATTCCAAACTCATCATCCAGCTCTGGGACAAATCCAACAGCCTCAGCAACGGGTCAGTCTCCGAGTCATCTTCTCACTGTCCCCGCTCACCTGGCAGCTTTCTGTTTCTGTTATTCCTGAGTCCTGTTTCTCTTCTGCAGGTTGGAGGTTCAGTCGGACTCAGACGAGGACAAGAGGAGTGAGAGCCGGACTCGAAGCAGCAGCAGGAGGATCGAGACACAGAACAAATCCAAAACCTCTGAAAGAGACGAGACCTGCAGGAAGTCCAAGGGGATGAAGGAGTCCTCCAAGAAATCTACAGAGGAGTCTGTCGATCAGAAGCCTTCGGACAAGGAATTATCAGGAAAAGAGACTCCAGAAAAGGACCTGAAAGACACAAATTCAGAGTCTGCCTGTAAAGAATCTGGGTCCAGAAAGTCTCCAGAGAAAGAGATGATCAGAGAGCAAACCTCTGAGGATGAGTCAGAATCCAGAAAGACTGAAGAGAACAACTCTGTTGCTCATGACACAAAAGAATCACCAACTGAAGAGACGGAGTTGTTTCCTGAGATGAGTGAAGTGAAGCAGTTGAAAAGACAAGGGACTCCTGAGAACAACTCGGTGCCTGAAAAAATCCTAAAGCAAGAGTCTGAAAGTGAAAACGAGTCGATGGTGGAAGAAGAAGAAAAGTCTGAGACTTGTGAGCAGAAAGGATGTGCTGACGTGGCTCTGCAGAGCAAGGCTGAGCTGAATTCAGGGGCTGCAGGGAAAGAAAAAGGAACTCATTCTGAAGAGGAAGCAGCAAAATCTGGACTAAAGAGTCCAGATCAGCCAGAGTCTGCTGGAGATCCTTCACAGAAACTACAAAGTGAACAGGTATGGCTGATGTTATCACTATCACTCCTCAGGGTTTTTAGAATAAGCCTGTGAAACAGATCATTAGGACTTTTCTTAAGTTTTAGAATAACTTTTTAAACCTTTTCTTCACTTCAGAGTGGAACAGACATCTGACTCTGAACCCAGACTGACAGTGACTGGCTGTACTACCACTTACTCTGATCAGCTGTTAGTCTACTAGTGATTTTCCAAATTAATAATCTGGTCTGTAAAATGTCAGGAAATGCTGGCCACAGTCCAAGGTGGCATCTTGTGTGGTTCAGAAGCCAGAGACAGAACCAGCTTGGTCATGTGTGGATTTGTTCTTGTAAAATGACTGCGGTGCTTAATCAGTTATCAAGAGTTGAAGATTATTTCCCCACAGACGGACTGATCAGTTAGTGTTGTCGGCTGCAGCCGAGGAAAACACATCTCACAGATCGTCTCATCAGTTAGTTATGGCATCATCTGGGCTGACGCTGTTGCAGAGCAGGAATAGTTCAACTGTTAATGACCTGTGGTCTGCTTTCAGAGAGCTCCTACTGAAGATCAGCTGCAGGACTCAAAGGATGCACAGGACGTGGAGCGCAAACCTCAACCTGCAGGGGGCACTGCAGAGCCTGAGAAACCTACCAAACCTGTTGGTAAGAAAATTCATTTCACCAGCAGCATGTCTCAAAAGTGTTTTTTAAGTAGTAAAACATTTAAAGATGCTCTCAGTTTGATAAACCCACTAACAGTGGGACAGGATGTGATGTCTCTCAGCTACAGATTCAGTAAATTAAAACATTTACACAGTTTAATAGACCACGTCCCCCCCCAATCTAAACTCAAACTGTGGTGATCCTGGCCACACAGATGCACTTTAAACATCTGTCTTTGGAAATGTTTGTGAGAGGTGTTTCTATTATTTTGTCCATGTTGTTTGTGCAGGGACGCAGTTTGTTCGGCCGATCGTCGGTTACTTCTGTCATCTGTGCGAGGTGATCTACGCCAATGAGGACGAAGCCAAAGTGGAGCACTGCAGCAGCCTGACACACTACAGGAAGTACCAGGTGAGGAGGTCATATAACGGCTCACAACACTGACGTCACTGGTCAGAGTTTGCGCAGCGTTGCACTAAAGAGTCAGTCGCCGCCTACCTGGTCCTTTTTGTCTTTGTGCTCAGATGAGTCTTATTACCAGGTTCGTGAAGCTACCCCGCTTTGTGACCTCCTAATGGAGCTAAACCAGTCTAATCCAACAGTCCTGGAATAAGTTAAATTAGGTGAACCTAAAGTGACAACTGGTATTTAGTGTCATTTTCAGGCAGCTACAGTCAAATAGGAGCCTGTACCTAATCCAGATGTGTCACTCATGAACTCCCTAGAGCAGCGGTCCCCGACCTTTTTCTACCAGGGACCGGTATCATGCATGAACTTTTTTTCCGCGGACTGGGTAGAGGTGCAGGGGTTCCAATAACAAAAACCTGTGTCAGTTCATAGTATGTAATCTGAATGCAACAATTACAATAATTCTATACTATAATATAATATCAACTCACCATAATGCAGAGTCAGTGGGAGCCCTGGGCTTGTTACCCTGCAACTAGACAAAAAATTCCAAGGACTTGTCTCTTAACACAGGGTGTTTTGTCTCAATGTGGCGAAGCATTTGTGAGGGTTTCATGACTTCATTAGCTTGTCGGTCACCGCAAATTATGCATAGTGGGTGTGGAGCTTGTGTATCACCTGTTGCGATGAACCTGTAACTTAGGCAGGAATCATGGTTTTTTTTTTTTAGATGCAGCTTTCTGTTTGCTGGCAGTCTGTGACCCTTCTGCTGTCCCATCGTTTGCTTGTTCCTTCCCGAAAAAGCTTTCCAGTGAATATTGTTTTTGGCTTTTTTTAAAGGGTGTGTCGATGTGTAAAATGGCGTGCCAGACTCAAGTGTGGTAGTGAGGCAAGGGCGGAAACAGTTGTTTTTCAAACTAAGACTAACGAAAGAAAAGCTATAATTTTAACCACGCTACCAAATGATCCACAGGAAGTGTTTTTGTTTTCCAGGAGAAGACTGGGAACGATCCATGGGCAAGCTGAACTTACTGACGCTGCACGAAGCTCATCCTTAATGTGAACTGAATCCAAAGTGTCACTGGACTGATGGACACGGTCCTGAAACAAACACCACTTTACCTAAAAGCCCATGGACACAAACACCAGCTGTGAGAAAATGAGTTTTGGATCTGATGTAATTCTGGTGGTTAATGACATTATGGAGCCAGCTACTGCAGAAAAGTCTTGTTTAAAGAGTGTATTAACAGTTTAAATTTGACAAAGCACTTTTATTTTATCGAACCTCTAATCAATCAACATAAAAATACGCAGAAAAACAATTCACTTTGTTCTGAGGATAAAAGGAACAGTTCAACATTTTAGAGGATTAGTTTTTAAATCATTCACTGACCAGCATGTCTCAATGTCACATACAAACCAGTTTGTGCTTTTACTGCATGTTTATGTGCCTGAACTGGTTCTTGTTTAGAGCATATCTGGCCGTAGAGCGCTCCTGGCCCTTGGTGGGTGGAAACATCTGACACCGTTTCTGACTAACAACAGATTTGTGAGCCTCTTCAGTCTTTATGCTAAGATAGGCTAACCAGAGGGTGTTCCAACCCGAACTGTCTCTTTAAGCTAAACGTACACGTAAAGAGTTGTGTGCATTCCCTCCTCTGTGCAGCAGGTTCATCTTTTAGCTCAGTTCAGTTTTTAATGTCATAAAATTGTGAAAATTGTCGCATTCTTCAAGCGTCTTTTGCTCGACCAACGGACCAAAATCCAGAGATTCTGTTTAAAACAAACCATTGGTCCACCAATCAACTAGTCAGGCGGTAAGTTAATCAGCAGTTACTTTAGTTCTGCTGGTTTTCTTTTGTCTTTAGCAGCTCTGGGCATGTTTGTTTTCTAGACAGTATGGTGTTTGCTATTTATTGCTGCTGAAACAAAGGAATTTCCCCATTGTGGGATTAATAAAGTCTTATCTAATAAAACTGATGAGTGAGAAGAATTGAACTTCAGCAGCTACAACTTACGACTGTTCTGATCCATTTTCTAGATTTGACACTGGCCATCTACTGCTAATCAATTCATGGACCAGTCACTATGGTTCTAAATGGAATCTCTGACTTTCAGACAGTTACATTTTCACTATATTCAACTTTTATAACTAAACAATTAGATTAAAATGGATGTTTAGGCCGCACTTTAGCGTTCCAGATCAACTAACCAGTCAGATTCATGTGAAAATCCACTTCACTTCCTGGCTGAATGCACCTTCGCAGCCAGCAGCGCTGTTGTGGAGGATCACACCCCAATCAGTACCAGGAGTGACAACACTACAACTCTGTACATGGACATAGAAATAACCTGCTGTCTGTTAAATGTCAGTCAGGAACTATCCCAGACTGGTTTTACTGGTCTGGTGTTAGACTGACACACCTGGACAAAATTGGTGATACCCTTCCGTTAAAGAAAGAAACTCACAATGGTCACTGAAATAACGTGAAACTGACAAAAGAAAGAAAGTTACTTTCAGCTTTTCCTGTTTAGGGGTCGCCACAGCGACAATTCGCATGTTGACCTTTGACATGTGTTTTACACCAGATGCCCTTCCTGACGGAACCTGGCTTCGAACCCGGGGCGCTCGCTGCTGTGCCTTAACCTGAAACTGACAAAAGTAAAATAAAAATTTACTGAAAATTAATGCAAATTAGACATTGCTTTTGAATTGTGGTTCAACAGAAGCATTTTAAAAAACTAGCCAATGAAACTGGACAAAAATGATGGTATAACCCCAGAAAAGCTTTAAAAATAATTTGACCATAGCATCATGTCAAACTAGAGTGTGTCCTGTAATTAGCATCACAGGTGTTTATCTAGGGGTACATCATTGTTGTCCAGGCCAATTTCATTTAGTTTTTTTAAAATGCTTCTGTTGAACCACAATTCCAAAGCAATGTCTGATTTTCATTAGTTAACTTTTATTACTTTTTTCAGTTTCACATTATTTCAGTGACCAGTGTGAGTTTCTCTTTAACACAAGGGGTGTGTATGTGTGGTGTAGTGTGTGCTGGACTGTAAGAACAAATGAAAACTGAAATAAAAGCTCCCACTTCACTCCTCCTCGCTGGATGAATCAGTTTATTATACCACAGTTGTCTCCCCTTTCTTCTTCTCTGCTTTAGCCTTTTCCCTCGCCAGGTATGTCTGGAACAGAATCACAAGGATACCTCATGTCTCCTTTTCTCTGCATGTGCACAGGTTGCCATAACACGGTAAACATACACAGTCTCAGCAGATTCAAACATGGAAATGGTTTTTCATGTTGCACCATCAGTATTAATGCATTGCCCCTCCCACTGTTGTCATCTTAAGAGATTAAGTCAGAATTAAGATGCCTCTGTTTTTGCCTTTGGTGATGTGGTGTGCTTGTGTAGGAACTACAGTTCCCATAATGCTTTAGGACATGTGTTAACAGCAGCAGAAGGAGCAGTGATCAGCTCCTGTGTGTCCCCATGGATGCAGTGGATTACTATGATACTGAAGGACACTTGGGGTGATGTGGGCAGAGCTCGTCAGGTACAGCAACTCACCTGCAGCTTGTCATAGTGCATCTGGCTGCTGCAGTGGGTTTTCTTGGCCGTGTCTTCGTTGGAATAAAACAGGAAGCACACACGGCAGTAGTAGCCCATCTTAACATGTTCAACACCTGCAGAAACGAGACAAGCAGATGAAACATATTTCACACAAATATCTGAATATCACCAGCAGCTACAAGACTGAGCTGCTGCTGCTCTCAGGATTGTTTCTTCTCTATGTTCTAACAAAACCTGAGAAATATGTGGTGGAGCATTAGGACTCTTACCAATGGGGCTGCTGGGGTTATAGGGGGGCAGCGGCAGAGACGCTATGCTGACTTTGGGTTCAGCGCAAGGAGGCGGAACTTCAGCCTGTCCACTCTGGTTGGTCGATGGGTCCACCTCTGCCTCCTGCTCCTCCTGCAGCTGAGAGAAGCATCACATACGAGTCACAGTTTAACTGCACATTCCGACAATCAGAAACCTGCTGTTTGTTGATCTAGAAACTAAATTAAAGACGCCTCTTTTGTGCAAACGTGACGCTGTGTGTTTGAATATTCACTGTTGTTCTGTGATGGTTTTTAATCCGCTTTCCATTCAGTCTTAAACATGTGGTGCTGCTTGTTTGTTTGTAATATCCACCTGAGGACCACACATCACACTGCACATATTCACCTCATTCGATGCCAATTAACATTTGAACTTGAGGGCTTTTAGACACTGACTCACATTCTGGTTCTGGTCACTAATGCTCTCTGCTGAGGTTTCTTCCTCTTGCTTAGCCTCCATCCTCACATCAGAGCTCTGCATCTCTTCCTCCTCCTCTCTCTTCTCCTCCAGTTTCTCCTCTTCGCTCTTCTCCTCCAGTGACATATCCTCCCTGGATTTCTTGGCTGGGGGTTCTTCAGGGTGTTTGGAGGACTTGGTTGGTGTGCTGCTGATTTCTCTCTTTGCTCTGCTCGGACACTGATGTCTGAGCAAAAGAAAACAGTGGAAAAAGTAGTGTTTCTTTTATTTAGGCTGAAAGAGAACAGGGTCAAGGTCAAGTCACGGTCAACATGCATCAAGTTTAAAGGATAAAGTTCGTCATTTTCTATTTTAACAGTATTTTCAAGACATACAGACTAAAACCAACAATGAAACAACAAACACCAGACCAATATTTGTGAAGCAAGCAAGGGTCAAGGGCCCCTTGCACAAGATCTCTGGACATCAACAAATATTAGACTCTGTTGTTTTGTAATGAGGAAACATGTCACCCAGCACAGCAGTGGTCCCTGATGTGCTATTAGCTGTTTCTGAAGAACAGTGGAGGTATACAGCACAGAGGAACAAGCTGACCCAGGACTGACAGACATTAAGAGTGAATCAAGGCAATTCATTCTTGCTTTTAGTCTCTGGATGGGAATTTGGGTGAAATAAACAAAATAACCGTCTGTGTCCTTGAATATGCTGGCTTTCTTCTGGACTCTTGTTTCACATACAGCGACCAGCCATAACTTTCTGCCCACTGACAGGTGAAGAGAATCAGTGATTATCTCATTACAGTGGCTCCTGTCAGTGTGCGGGGCGTATTAGACATCAGGTGAACATTCTGTCCTCGATGTTGACGTGTTGGAAGCAGGAAAAACTGCCAAGCATAAGGATCTGAGTGACTTCGACAAAGGCCAACCTGTGATGGCTGACGGCTGGGTCAGAGCGCCTCCCAGACTCTCGGTGGGTGTTCCCAGTCTGCAGCGGTCTCAGGAAGGACAGACAGTGAACCGGCCACAGGGTCGGACGCCCAAGGCTCACCGATGGTGAGTTTGGTCTACCGTAGATTAAACATTTAAATTTCATTCTTCCTTTTTAAAAGATTCCCTTTAGTTTGATCTTTGTTAAAAGGGTCGGAAATGAGAAACACTGTACGCTGGTCTCTATGAAGAGAAACATTCAGCGGCTACAGTGGTGACATCACAGAGCGGGGAGGCTGCTGAACGCGTCTAAAACATCTCTGACTTGTCCTCACAACCACAGTTTTCACTTCTTTAACATATCTTTAATCACTAAACGATGGACAAGTTCCTCCTCTCTCTGACAGTAAACTATGGAAGCAAACCGATTCACACACACCATGTGCTGTGAACCTCAGAGCGACACGAGTGCCGACCACCTGCTGCACCGCCTCCTATGTACACAGTATTAGGCAGGTGGTCATGTTATGGCCGATCAGTGGATAGTAAAATGGCTCATTTGTCAGAGCTTAATGATTCATTTTTAGTGTTTAAACCAAATAACTTCTGTCGGTCAGAACTCAGTAGCAGTTTGAGGACCTGCCACAGAGTTTACCACAGAAGAAGAAACTCACCCGTGTTTGAGCTGCCTGTAC